TTGACAGATTGATTATCGTTTGTTATTTCATCACTCCTGAGCCATTTGGGAAAAACTTTGGTTTCATTCGGGAGAAGAAGCTGCGATTTTTCAAACGATACAGCCACCATCCCTGATAGATACATCGTAATTAATGTACGGAACATTGGACGTTGCTCGTCCACTAAACATCGCGTCCGAGAAACTTATGGACGTTTCTCAGCGCCCCCATTGCACCGTTTCATGATGCGAACCTTTTATAACATGCATCAGTACCGCGTTCGTGTGTGTGCCTAACCACGAGACGACCAATCGCTGCAGCTGGAAATCTGTGCCAGACCGCGCCAGATATGTAGCGGGACAGTCCTCGGTCTCGGCACACTGTTCTTAGCCTCGTAACAATAAATTTAGTGTCCAGGTTTGGACTAATTTTTAATACAGTTCACGCGGCCTGGTGGGTACAAATGACTGATACGCAGTGGCTAACGGCGCTTTTGAATAGTGTTTTAATATTGCCAGAAAGGAATTTCATGTTCTAAATGGTCCATCTATTTCCATGCTAAATGAGAGCAAATCAAGTCAAACGAGCTTAGGCTGATCGGCAACAGGAACTACTTATTTCGCTTTTGCTAAAATTGCAATAGAGTCCCATTTATTAATTACCCATTAATTTCAATGTCCCAGCAATCTGGTAGACTGGCAGAAACTGTTGAGCAAATTTTGGGCACAAACGTAGCGTCAATAGGAAAACGCATAGCAGAAAGTTTACAACCGGCATCTTCATCGAACCCTACTGCAAGCCAATTACACAACCTCAAGTGTTACACTAGAAACCTTAATAGTGCAAAACCGCCGCCATTCCAAATTGTCCAAGTGCTCCCGGGTTTTCGTAAAACCTGCCGATGAGCTGGAAGTGTTGTTGTTTTCTAGTTCGCCTTCAGAACGGATTCTGAGTCTGTCCAGACTTTCCATGGGGCGAGTGCAAGATTGAAGCAACGCTTAGAAGATGCCCGCCAAGACACCGCGAATGGACCATTTTTGTCCCTGGCGTCTCCTATTCTCATGAGCAAGGTGAACGCGAAGCATGGTACCACGACTGAGAGAGGTGGCGATGTATTCACTAGACAAAATTTTGGATGGCGATGTGTCTTCACTTCAGGCCCTAACGAGCATCCAGCTACAAATGGTACGGTCTAAGGATAAACAAGGTTGTACAACAAATAGGCAGATAGCACTTACGTTACCGGAACGATGGCACTCACTTCGGTACAGGCTGCTAACCAAGCTCCTTTGCTATGCGACGAGCAAAAACCGTCCAACTTTAAGTGTCACCTAACTATGCAGACAGCGTGGGGAAACTATTCTAACTTAACACAGGAGGCAGACCTGAATATATTGTGGATGATCCTAGGCAATCCTGTGACCATTCTCCATGAATTGTGAAATCCGAGTTGCTAGTGGGAATCACTACGATGTCATCGAAACCAACTCAAAGCTACTCACCGATAATATTATTCAGAAACGGCTGGCATCCATCCACTAAGCTTAACGACATGTCTTTCGGATCGCTGCTGAGAACCGAAACATTTTCCTGCCTGTTCAAAAATACTAAAGCCTTTTCAGCAAAATCGCCGATCTTCGGTGACGTCAGACAGCAATCTCTTAAGACTTGGTTGTACTCAGAACTTACGGAGGCCAACATCGCGATGCGAAGTTTGTCACTGTTCCGACACGATCATCCCAGCATGGAGGGTGGTGTAATCCTATCCGATCTCAATGAGTTACAATGCGAATCCTTGGTACATCCGGAGGCAATGTCACCGATTTGGCGTGGTATCGTTTGCATCTCAGTTATAATGTTACTAGCCATTTAGCTGGTGTTAACTGACCCAGATTGTCTACTCCTGACATGGATTCCCTCCTAATATCAACACTGATGAAACGATTACTCACAACTTACAGCCATGTGTTTAGCTCCGACGATTTCAACGTGCATGACCTGTAACCCTCGCCCCCCAGACAAACATACAACGTCGAACTGCAAGACCTTATTGCAAGTCTTCCGTCCTACAATCACGCCACGTCATCTACCAGGTACAGAGCTAAAAACAAGCCATCGGTACTTGAGCACATGCATACAAATGAGGAATTCACGGTCGACAGCTCATTAACGGACACCCCACAAGGACAAAATTATCATGCAACCATACTTTAGAAGTATGTGTGTCACGTAAAACATCTCCGGATAAAACCCCTGAAAAACGCGTACGATCACACGCTGCGACATCCTGACGGATGTGGTTGCAACGACAAATACGGAATTCTTAAAAGTTGGCTTCCTTGGTAACGGTTGGATTCAACTATTTGGACGTTTCAGCAATCTAATCGTAATTGCTTCCGAAACTAAGTGGGTTCTTTCCAAAAATCCAGAGCAGTTCAACAGATGTAGAACTCCAGTACGTGTCATTCAGGAATGTCGTTCCGTACAATTAGAGAGCTCCTCCTTGTTCTGAAGGCTAGAGCAGCTACGTGACCCAAACCAACCATTGTATCATGCTTTCCGTGAGGATAAGTCTGCGTAGCAAAAACATTTGGCTTATAATTTCGCCAAGAACAAAATGCTCCTAGCAAAACGCGTTAAAACATTCGAAAAGGATAGCATGGCATAGCACACTTAAGAAGACAGTCGTAGTGGCACAAAATACTGTAAAAGCAGTCATTGGTGAGCAGTAGGGAAATTTATGTAAGTTGTTCGTGAAGGCCCACCCCTAATAAGCAGTAACCGCTTCAGCAGTGTATATGCCTCCTCGATTGCTGGCATCGTACCAAGGAAGTCTTTGCTCTAATGACCAACCTTTCATAACACGTATGACAATTTAGGCTATGACACGCTATGTCACAATTTGATAGCAATCGTGGCGATCCGCTGCCGTTACCTATGGCTCAGTGGCATAAGTTGTTGGCTCGTAAGAGTAATGTGGTTTGTTCGATTCCAGCAGGATTCGGTGGGTGCGCGCAAATGACAAGTCCTAAACTGAAGAAACGCTGTCTGGCGCTTTCTGGAATGTGTGGCGATTTTCTACCTCAGCCTAGCTACGACGTACCTTCCCAAAGCAGCGAATACTGTCCGGATGCAATATACCCCGATTAACATAGGGGACACTTCCCAAAGTCACATGCTCAGATGTGCAACCACAACTTCGGCATTTGTTAACATCGCTTTTACTGCCAAATGTGTGCTGAAATACAGTTCCAAATGCACCCCTACATCACTCTTTAGATGGATCATATCCAGCAGTGATGTAAGTTTCAATAACAACAATGGTCGAGCAAGTTTCGCATTTCTTACAAACGTGCTTGGATAAGCAAACGGTGCCCACTTCGTAGAATCATGATCTAATCACGCCATTCTTCAAAAGTGGTAATTGCTTGAAACCCGCATATTTCATCCAGCGGTCTTCCTCAAGGCACTCCAGAATGTGATGGAATCAGTCATCACTAAGGCTTTAGTCGACTATTTGGAAAGCAATCATTTCGTAACACCAGTTCAGCACCGTTTACGCCAACAACGATAATGTACATCCAAACTACTGATTTTACGCAGTAGCTGGACTGACGCGACCGACAAAATTAGTGGGACTGACGTTATTTACCTCAAATTCTCCAATGTCTGTGACCGAGTGCATTGCCGCATTTCGATTAACGGATTCGAAAGATAGGGTGATTGGAATCCTTCCTTGATGGAAACAGGACTTTCCTGCAGAATCGGTAACTGCAGGTTATAGTTAGAAGCACGTTGCCTGATCCGATTCATGTCGAATGTAGAGTTCCGCAATAATCAGTTCTGGGGCTCCGTTAATTTCTCGTATCAGGTAACAAAAGTACGTGCTTCATTGCCTCGAATTTTTCGTTGTTGCCAATGATGTTAAGAGGTGGCGGGAGATGACCGACCAAGGAGATCACGATGCAGTTCAGCGAGACATGGACAGGGCGTATGAGTGATGACGCCACCAGCTGCTCACGCAGAATTCTTTTAAAGTGTGAGGTGATTTACATACGTCACCAGCCAAACAACTTATACAAGCTTGGAGACTGTAAACTGCAAGCAGTCACCTAAGAGCGCGACCTTGTGGAATTAATCCAGGCTGGTCTGAGCTGCTCAGAACAATCTGCGAAGGCGGGAAAGACTGGGAATCAAGACGTTAGGATGCTGCAGAGTGCATTCGGGCAGTTTGATTGCTCGGTTTATTTGCAATTGTTTAATACACGTGCGGTCTCATGTAGAATACACAATCCAGGCTTGACATCAATTATACAAGCCAGATCTCGAGACTCCATAGCGAAGAGCTACGAAGCATGTCAAGCGGTTGACCAACGTCCATATCAACTTCGGCTGAGGACTCTAAACTTTTACACCAGCCGACTTCGCCGAAAACGGATGGACCCAATAATGGCCTACCAGATTTTGAGGGACCCCAACCACGCAGGATGCTTAAAACACAACATTGCTGAAACCTACGGCACGCATATTTTGTGAATTCCATTCCTTATAAGCAATCAATAAAACGGGATCAATTGTTGTAGCCTACCATCCAATGTGCTTGATAACGCTCTACCATGAGGTGCATAGTCCAGCACCATCTGTTGTATTTAGTTAAAAATACTTATCTACATGTCAAACAACTGCGTAAATTCTGGTATGGTTAATAACCTATTTTATCATCGCAGGTCGATGGTACTCCGATTGCCGCATGCTATCAAAAGTATGCACAATGACATAATCATTGTTTCGATAATACACATATACATTTCAGCAGGCGGTAATCAGAACTATTTTACCTATCTGTTTTAATGTCAATCATAAATTCTGTTCTGATCCTTTACGTTCCAAATTACTCTGTTGATTCAGCGAACTAGTTTTGAAAAGTTAGCACTTGTCAGCATTCACCATGCTTAATCTACAAATGTGGGGTAAATAACATCCGGTAGTAATGGCAATGCTTAGATTAAATGTAAATTTCTCAAGCTGGGATCCTCAGCCGCGTTAACTGGCAGCATGCATACAGTGTTGTTCGTGCAGAACCAGGAATACTTGGAGGATGATGGAAACGATGAGCATTGGAAGGGATAGAAGAGCCAGAATGAACATAAATCCACCCAATCGGTTGGGCAATCCAGTGTTGCCACACGTGATCTCCAGTGTGGATTTCAGGATGATATGTAGCCGACTGCAAGAGACCACCTGACTTGTAAACCGAGTCATCTCGGAATCCATAGATGTATTGAGCGCGGCGAAGAACTCGATAAAAGCAGCACGGTATGCCGACACCAGTGGATCTACAACGGCCGTCGAGTTGCTGAGGATCTGAAAGAAATGGCCACAACGTGCAAGCATTTGAGCGCTGTGATTTCATTCCAGTGACGCGACGATGCTTACAGCAGTTTATGAAGATACAGCGGTACAATAGCGTATAACCAGTTGGCATTAAAGATAGCTATTTCACATGTTGGCTATCGCCAGAAAAAGTGCATGTCACAATTTTTAAGATAGCTGTGCCCAACAAGGTTTACTACTTAAGTTCTACAGTCATCTTGTCAAAACACCGCTAGTTTTGCAGCACATATTTGCGTGCGCTTTAACAATGTTGCGCATCAATAGGAAATGCGAATTTTTCAATAATTCTTTCAAAACATTAATAGGATGATGTAACAGTCAACTCAAGCAAATTATTTTTATGAACTTCAGCTAATGCTTCGTGGGAAAGTTATTATTATTTATCTGTCTGCCAGTAAAATTAGAAAAGCTTTCCCGATTGAAGTGCATACACTTTCCAAGGTCTCGACTTCGTAAATTCGTATAGCTAATCCGTGTTGGCAGCTTATATATATTTTAAGGCATCTCACCACTGTTTCATATATATGTCACAACTGATACATAGTATCTGGATGAAGCTCATGTGGCCACGATTGCGTGCTACTTACCTGGATAACCGATTGCAGTGTTTCGCTTATGTTTTGTAGTTGCGGAGATAGTACTTGGTACTTTTGCAGTTCCGTAAATTAGCTGGCCAGTTGCAAAGTATGACTACTCAGAGAGCCCGCTTCTTGCAGGTCAGTCAGACATGCATCGATTGTGTCTCGAATGGTAACGGCCTCAGGTTGGCTGCTGGTGTAAGGATCTACAAAATTCTTTAATTCCTGTAGGTATGCAGTAACCATCGGTACATCAATAATTGTGGCGGTTAGTTCATGAATGCTTTCCTGACGTGATAATTAGAGAGAAGTACTCATAAGAAGTGAACAAAACAGAGGTGGGTTTATAACTGATATTAAACACATGTCAGAATAGACCAAATTAGCTCTTTCTGCTTAATAGCCCTTGAACTGAATGTCCACTGAATGTGATAACATAAATTATGATGTAAACATTGCTTGCTAATTTTTTAAGTCACGGGCACCTTATAAATGGAGGATGATATGGCTGTATGCCAGAAAGCTTGTTTTGGATTATTGAATCTCTTTTAAATTCAGTACATTTATACAATATTCTGCTAAAAAATTAGCTGCTCAAACATATTCTCCCTTTAGGTTTAAGGCAATTTTACGTCCCGACTAAATACAGAATTCGTAAAGATTATAAAATAATTTACTGTTACGCAGAGGAGCTAAATTATTTAGAGCAATAAAGCGATTTGCTTTTATGATTTTCTATCTAACAAGCTCATTCAAAGACGTCGAGCAACTGAACGCAAAATATCAAGTTAATTCCCATTTGCTAAACGACAACGATGCTATTGTGAATGAAGCAAGAGAACAAATGCGAATTCTTGGTTTTTACATGTTTAGACACATCTTGATCAGGACTGCTGTTGCATTTGCTTAATTATTGCAGTATTTATGGGTTAATACATACATTTTGTCACGTATAAGGCCGCCTCAAATCTTGCAAATCCGACGCAAATAGCTGCTTGTTCCTGTGGTCTTTAATCACCGAATGAGCCATTTAGTTAAAGAAGCCTATGCATTTTTGTTAGGTCTTGGCTTTGAGACCCCGTTTGGGTGCTAATTTGTAAGCTACTGGCTACACAAGATTGGGTGAGGCAGCCGTAAGGGAAATTCAAGCCTCGTTTGGTGAATATAATTCGCCCGCTAATTGATAGCGGATTTGAACAACGCGTAGGTCTCTCTGAGCATTCCAATATTCAAAGCTGGAAGTGGGTAATGATGTCACTTTGAAAAATGATATGGCGGTTATCGGAACAAAGCTGCACACCTTCCCGGCCAAAATCTGTGCTCAGATTTAACCACACATTAATCGTGTTCAAACTGCTGATATGAAACTGAGGCTCAACTAGTCGTACAGTCAACTAAGAATGTTACAGTTTGTTGTGATCCAAAGCGAAACAATGGACTCTGTCTTGCAGTTGCCGTTTACTCATTTGTCTGTAGTGTAATAAATCAATCCGAAATATATGCGCATTTGCGACTAGAGGTCAATAGACGGAGAGGAAAACACGTTGGAATAGGAGGGTTTATCAACTGTCAAACGAAAGTTTGATATCCGACAGTATTTAAGAGGTTAAAATGTACTAATGCGCAACACTAGAGTTGGAGTCAATTGTTCGCAGGAATGTGGTAGATCTGCCTCGATCGGAGTGTTAACACAGGAAACAAGAAAAATTAACAACGGAACTTACGATAAATATGAATGGGTCAGGCGCTTGTGGCAGTATGCACCTTTTGTGTTCAGGTCCACTTCAGCGCATGCAGCTTGCAGTTCCACTGTAGAAGGCGTCGCAATAAATTACATCAAGTATCTTAGCTCACCCGCGTATGAAATTCCATAACACCTCGAATTGATGGATCTAGAATATACCATTATACATAGCTATAAAGCACCAGTTTATGTATTTTCCTATTGTCGAATTTATACCAAGTATTATCGAAGTGGGTTGGCCAAGCAATATCTTGGTCAGGAGGAATGAAGGCCCCTACTTCGAACTTGGTTTCGGTTGGAGACACTCGGCTCCCTGCTTGGGGACCGAAGGAGCTTGAACACTTTTGTCTAAGTACACGTTTGACGTGGTTGAGAGCCGACCTCAATGGCTTTTGTGCTTTGCGTTCCCTTGTCCCTCCCTCTCCTGCTTAGCCCCCACCTCAGACCACGAGCTTATTCATTAGGCATAAAATAACTACTTTCTTACGACACAATAGCCGACCGTTAGCTCTCCGGAATGTTGCCCATCGGTCACTGATGACTCAGCCGACTGCCATTGGTTCATGTTATTTTTATTTTATTTTGTATTGCGGCACAAAAGCTGTGTTCTGCAACTACAGCTAACATGTGTAATAATAATGATATCCACTAATTTTGGCACGCTGCTTGTGGACCATCACTACAGATTAATATTTATATTTCAAAGCTGAATGAATTGCATAATTTGGTCTACAAGCATATGCTGAGTTCTGGTCGCGTCATACCGTATTAGCTTTTCTATCTCCACTTGCTATCATACTATTTTCAATTACGTATGCGCATGCTCTTAGTATGTGCCTGCCCTCCAAATTCAACTTTGCAATCTTTTCTGCTGGACCAAGCGTTGCTCGTGGATCTCAGTGGCATAGTGCTTATGGCGTCAAACATGAGCCACTAGGCTCTGAGTTCCAGCCCAACTCAGGCTATCTCCAACTGATGAGTCCCAACAGGACGAAACCGCGGTCTTGGGGTGCCGGTGTTGGGATGAGCAACACTATAATTTTCATGTGCCTGCCCTGTTTAATATATATCTTCGTGCAATGTTGTCCTGTGCTTTTGATGCCGCTTGTGCTTACGGTGTTCATGTGGGGCACCGTATTGATGGTGATGAGCATTCGTCGTTTCGGTGCGAGAACTCTAGTTTGTGAGACAACTATCCGTATGTTGCTGTTTGCTGACGACTGTGCGTCGTTTGCACACAGCGCGGATGAGTTGTAGCATCTGACTAGTGCGCTGGCTTCGACAGCGGCCAAATTCGGGCTCACCATCAACACAAGCAAAACTGTCTGTCGCTTCTAGCCTTCACCGGAGGTGCAATCTTCAATATTGCCGCGAATCAGCATTGGTGCCGAAGTATTGGAAACCACCTCCCCCTTCTGCTACCTTGGGAGTGTAATGTAGACTGATCAGCAGATACACAGTGAGCTTCGTATCCACGTGTCGAAGGCAGCGGCGTCATTCGGGAAGCTAGAGTACCGAGTGTGGAACAACCATCAGCTTAACACTGACAAGAAGCTGATGGTGTACAAACCCATGGTTTTTCCCGTTCTTCTATACGTCAGGGAAACGTGGACGATGTACCGTCGGGATGTGCGATATCTCGAGCGGTTCCTTGAGCAGTGCTTTCTGCGGAATCTGCGCATCCTTTGGGGCGACAGAGTTGCAGACACAGAAGTGTTACGCCGTAGTGGAATGTATGCAGTGGATTGCATACTTTTGCAGAGACACCTGAGGTGGCTGGGTCATGTGAGCCGTATGGATTGAACGTGGACACCGAAGCAACTCTTATTTGGTCAGCAGATTATGGGGAAGTGGCACGTGGGGACACCAAAGTTACGTTACCAGGACATGATTAAAGTGAGCCTCACACGTTCTAATCTCGATTGCAGGTCATGGGAATCAAAGGCGGTTGATCGGCGTGCATGGCGCGATCTGATCATGAAGGCAGTTGCCGAGGTGCAGGAGAAAGCCCTCATGCATGCAGAGAAGAAGCGGAAAGTGCGGAAGCGGCAAGCACCGATGGGATGTTCTCCATCGACATCAAGCGCATGGTGCTGTAGCACATGCGGTCACGAGTGCCGGAGTCAGGCAGGATTAGTGAGCCATGAGCGATGCCACTCGGGATCACTACCGAAAGCGACGACAATTCCTGCAAAGAACGTAGGCAGAACCAGCGCAGCTTTTGTAGTTATATTGCATTCGATTTACTAACCGCGTACTTGCATGCTAAGTCTCTCTATTTCAGGTGGTGGGTTTTCAATTTTGTCCTAATGTTTTTCTTTCTCAAATAAATTTCCATCTGTACGCTTTTCTATAAACCTGCCAACCGCGCTTAAGCCAATTGTAGTTAATTTCGACAACATTTTCGCGTTTGTGTCATTTCCGTAAAATATACTTTCTGACCCCCTGAACTTATCTCGGATCCTTTGTTAACAACTTATTTCATATGCTCATTAACTTAAGAATTTTGTCAAGTTTCCTTATGCATTACTCGATTTATTTTCTTTGTTAGCTTTCTCTCAAGTGATTGGCTGTTGCTTGATATCCCCGGTGTGGCTGCGCTTGATGTGTATGTTGACAAGTTGCCTACATCTCTATTACCCACTACCTCGTCCATACTGGCTCCAGCAGACAGTTGGTCGTTGCTGGAGGGGACGGGGTGCACGGTACTTGTGTCCTTGTTAGGATCAAAGAGTTGTTCCATGCACTCAGTGTGGAGCGGACTACGGTTCAGCCACCGCCTTGTGTGCGTTTGATTTCCCAAATACAGCGTGCCTGTGTTTACCTGTGAAGGAGTGTGGGTCGGCTCCGTTGATGAAACGTGGCTCCCATCCACATGCCTCCTGGTCTTATTCCTTCGGGTTTAAACTGGATATGGGGGGTGTGGTTGGAGCTGTGGTTGGTGCAGCACAAGCCACCCATGGTCCCTCTGTAGGCGCAGGCGTCCTGTGGCTGGCCACAGTGACAGGCAAATCCGAAACCGGATGCCGCTAACCATGGTATAATAGCATGTGGCGCCTGCATACCATTAACCCGGCACGCAACATTACATTTCTCTACCGATTATTTGACATGAATATTTTACTATAGAATTCCACCATCGTGTGGAACACTTAGTATCATTTGGCGCTGCTGCCCTGCTTAGTCCGGCACCCATATTCACCTTCAGCGATGATTTTGCAACGGTTTACAGCCGTAGAATGTAGTCCATTGCATTCAATCTAGTTCTTAAAATTTAACAGCCATTATTCTCTTCCTTACATTACGACATCTAGCTACTCCTGCTTCATAGTCAACCTGACCCCTCCACCCTATTCTCTGCTATATATTTGACCAGTGCGTTCCACTTTAGAAGTCCACCTCGGGGTGGAACATTTAGTATATTTTGCCGACGACGCCCACCTTATCCGGCTATCTATAGTCCCGCTTAAATCTGCGTCTGGAACTGCTTTCTCATTACAGCGGTAATATGCGATCGCTTGCATTCTCGCCCTAGTTCTTAGCGTTTTTGGTCAAGTAATCCATGCCTCATCTTATGATAGTTTCTGGTACCTGGTTCACAATAAATCCGGCTTCCATCACCACTCTTCTCTGCTGTCTGTTTGACTTGTATTATTCATTGTGGTAGCCTACCTGGAGTGGAACACTTATTAGCCTTTGGGATGCAGCCCAGATCTTTCTGCTACGCCACGTCCTTTTCAGAGCTTGCCCTGCAACCGTTCCCTCTATACAGCTATCGTACGTAGTCCCGTCTCCTCTCACTCCAGTTTTCAACATCGTATGCCTATCAGTATATGCCTCTTCTTCAAATGGCGAGCGACTCGTGCTTCTCAGTTAACCCTGCACGCATCTTTACTCCTCTACCGTCTATTTTACTTAAATGCTTCACTGCGTAAGTACATCTTGGTGTGGAACACTTAGTAGCTTTCGATGTCGCTGCCCAAGTTATTCCGCTGCCCCAGTCTCGTTTCAGAGCTCGCTTTGTAACTGTTCTCTTGCCATAGCTGTAGTATGTTTTCCGTCTATTATCGCTCCTGGTTGCAACCGTGAACGCCTATTAGTACGTGCCACATCCTTAGATAGCACGCGTTTGCTGCTTCACAACTTATCCGGCAGGCAACTTTACTCTTTTCTGTTAACCTAGTACAGTTGGATGTCACAATAGAACCAACCCCTGTAGCGAAACACTTAGCAACTTCTAGAGGTGCTGCCTTATTATTCCCTTACCGCTGGTCACTTCTAGAGCTGGCTCTATAACCGTTTTCTCCCTACAGCTGTTACAAATATGCTATCTCTCATCCATCCTGTTTTCAACCCTGTATACGAATTACACCATGCCTGTGCCTAAAATTGCGTGCCCCTCCTGTTTATTAATTAACCCGGCTGCCAGCAACTCACTCCTCAGCCGTCTATTTGACTGTTACGTTCCATGTTGGATGTCCACCTTATAGTGGAACACCTAGTTATCTTTCCGAGTTGCTGCACATGCTATTCTGCTATTACTGGTCACTTTCAGAGCTGGCGCTGAAACCGTTTTCTCGCTACAGCCGTACTATTTAATTACTTTTCTTCTCCCTCCTCTTTTTAAACTTGAATGCTTGTCAGACCGTACCTCGGCATACGACAGCGGGTACTTTCTTCGTCACAATTAATCCGACTCCCAGTATCGCGCTCACCTGCGGCCTATTTGGCATGTAGGCTGTACTGGAGAAATCCAACTAAGAGTGGAACACTTAGTATCTTTAAGCGCTGTTGCCTATCTTTTCCACTATTCCAGGTTCCTTTCAGAGCTGGCTTCTCAAACGTATCCTGTCTACAGTTTTAGTATATGGCCCCTTCTATTCCCGTCACAACTTCTCTGACGCCGTCTCATGCCAGCACCTAGCTACTTCTCTAGCAACCGATTACTGAACATGTTACCTTAATATTTTCATGGGTCTCAAACCCGGCGTAGCAACTCCACTGGCTTTCATACATGTTCGAACGGTGAGATGTACCACTGTAGACCGATTGCTCAACCTACATCTTGTCGCATATTCCACTACTCACTATGCTCTTCTGATTCCCTAAATTAATTCACCGGTTAATAAATCCTGAGACTCCCAGTTTCCACACAGGACAACTATTGCGTAAGCGAGTTTAATTCGGACAGCATTGTCACTCACATTCAACAAATATCGGTTATCGTATTTGCGTAAAAAATAAGTCTGCTGTATAACATATTCGGTCTTTCCACTGCTATTGTCCACCACATGGTTACCAAAACATTTGTTTTTATACATTAAAATAGTCCTGTTCATTTTCCTTGGTAGTTTGCTCGGTCCGTTTTTCTTTTCTCCATTATTCTAAAGGATAACATTATCTGCACGGAACACTTTTGAATACATACCTGCTATGCTCACCTGGCTACCGAAACAACGCAGAACAATGAAATCATCCGCACTTCGCAACCCGGACATACTAAAGGAACCCGCAAAAATAAACAAATCAATACAAGTCGCCTGAGTCGTCTGACTTCAACAGCACCAAACACTGGCAGTCGATTCTGAAAAAGACCATCACACAGCCATAGGACAACAACTGGCGAAACATAACTGCGAATAACCGCGAGGACAATCGGTCAGATGCCACCTGGTCAATGTCGTATTAGCGGTCGGCAGTGTTTCAAAACGTGGTGGGTTTCGCCTTGCAAGCGTTCTTCTTACAAAAAGCCACAAATATCTGTTTAACACCGTTGCGACGTGGCGGATGTGACCCGCCACACAATAAAGTCACAGCTCCAAGCACGCAGTGGCATGTTGACCGATACCAAATTCCACAAATTCGGTGCATATATCTGCTCCCGTACGAATACGCCTACATATCTGATCCGTGACATGCCACTAATCTTAATGGATTTTTGCAGCTTTTTCCTCATGTTTCACTCACCTGTGTACACTGTGTACACAACCTCATCGGAGTTGTTCCTCACTAACATACTCCCCATTAATGATCTATTTATCGTCTCTAAATCTAGCATTCCGTGCGGATAGACTACATTCAACCTTTGGGCCATGTGAGTCGACACTATTGACTACGTCTGTACTACTCCCGCGCTTGGTCCTGCTACTCCTGCTATCATGTACAATATTGCACTATGCTAATCATGCCCAAAAGGCGTGCCTCGCTTTGTTGCGAAAAAATATTTTTTTAGTTATTTATTTAAGAGGTATGTGACCACTGCATACCAGAGCATAGTCCTGAAAGTATAGTAGAATGGAGCCAGGTAGTGGATAGAAAAGACAAGCATCAAGATGAGAGAGGCAGACGTTAGCGTAAAATAGAAACCTAGGTAAGGGAGCCAAAATGCAAGGATCAGTCAGAGACGGGAGAAGTCAATAAAGCTAGGAAGAGCCAAACATACGGAGACTAAATCAGGTGAGGACTAGAATGGTGAGGCTACTGCTTTCAAGCAAGGGAGGACCGTGGTCAAATAGTAGTGAATTAGGATTACAGCATTGGCCGCGGTAGTAAAGTAGAAGAATGATATCCTAGCAGTCAAGAACTACATCAGGCGTGCCTTAGGAATTGAGAGCCGATGCTGGGAAGAAGAAAGAAGTTAGCCATAATTCACGGGCCTGTGGAGCCACAGTATCCGGACTGGGTTAAGCAGGATAGGCAACGTAGTGGGGAAGGTTTTAAGCACTGGGAAAATGCGCACTTGCTAAGCTTATATAGACCACTATCGAAAACTTAGGTATTAGACCAAATGATGACTTGAAGTAGTATGTAGCGAATGGTTAAACAAGGAGTGGATGAGACATGGATGGATAAAGTGTTAAGAAAGTGGTGCTGGAGGGATACAAGAGGCAATGGTCTAATAGAAGAGGAATGTGAAAGCTGGAGAGTACGGAATAGGCCATAAGGGATACTGGAGTGAAGCACGTAATGAATAAGATAGGCGAAGGCTGAACTCTGTACGACAGACGTCAATAAACAAGCAAAACCTAGGTGGGAAGTTAAGTGGCAATGAGAAATCAAAGATCGGATTACGAAGTTAGGAAAGGAAGGACCATGCAAGCATGGAATATTTCAAGCGAGACCTATCGGTAAGAGGTTAATGTTATTTATGCAAAAAATGAGTGGAGTTTAGACCATGTCATTGTCCGGAGCTATGAAACAGAATAAATGGAAAGTCTATGCCGTTGACCAAGCGTTCGGGCTTACCTACAGTTGATTTTGAAGGGGAGCATTGGTCAGCTATGTCGGGGGCCTGTAAGTTTGGTAGATTGCTGTAGACTTGTTGGGGGTATGCATAGAGATGGTCGGTAGTTTGTTCCATACTGTTGGTAGGAACAGTGTGATTTACCAGCCTGGTATCAATGGGAGACGAATGGCATGCTAATTTGTCTGATAAACCCATCATCGTCGTGAGTTCGATCGTTGAATGATAAGATGGAATAGGAGTCCAGTACAAGCACATACTTCTCATGGATGATTTCAACGTACATCGGATATAAACACTGCCCACGATCGGAGAACAATTTAAAGCCGAGCTACAAGATCTCGTAACCACTGTTCCTCTTTACTATCACATCACTTTGCCCACTCGGTTCAGAACAAGTAAGCGGCCACTTGTACTGGACCTTGCGCTTATCAACAAGGAGCATTTGAATGATGTGTTGATTGTAGGATGCCCGTTGGGTCGCAGTAACAAAGTAGTCATCAGTTTCAGCTTCGTCTGCTATGCAAAATATCGGAATGAAAACGATGCGACTGTGCGAACCATCACAAGCTACGATGGATTAGCCCAGCTCGTCAGCGCTACAAGTTGGGCGTTCCTTGACGAATTACCCCTGGAAGTCGGCTAGCTCGAGTTAGTCAACAAATGCAGTCAGCTGATTGTAGAGGCATTAGAGATTAAAGTTTGCAATAAGTATAAGTCAATTTCTTTCGCTAGGAACAGAACTCAGAAAGCAACGCAGCGTTACGAGAGTACAGAGAAGCTCCAACACCAGAAGCTTGGAACAACTACTTAGCCTAGCGCAACCACTGCATCTAACCGCTAAGAGAAGACTAAGCCGTCTATCACCAGAACATCGCAAAATCTTTCAGTGCTGACCACAAACTAATGTACAAGCACTTCAATAGCCTAAGAAAGGTTAGGCAAGGGTTTCCTCTACTTCGGATAGCTGATGGTCCAAAAAGAACGGCTATTGAAGCAGAAAACGCTTTGCGGAAGAACCCGCTTTTCAAGGTGTCTTGCTATCAAACGGTCTATTAGCTTTTGTCGTCTCGCCAGGAATAACCCATATTACTTTGTCAGCGGAGGATGTATTTCAAAAGCTGAGGTCTCTGCGCACACACAATTAGCCGGGTGTCGACACCATTCGTCCAGAGGCATTGGAAACAGCAGCAAGCCAATTGGCAAGACATTTAGCTCAACTTTTTCAGCACTGCTTAGACCAGAATCAAGTTCCCGCTATGTGGAATCTTGGAATAATAAGCCCGATTCACAAAGGTAGAAGCAGAACTAGATACCGTCCAGTATCCCTTCTTCCTGTGCTCTCTAAGGTCATGGAATCCATAGTTGCCGATGCACCGGTGTGCTATCTGGAAAACTGCAGCATCATCACTCCTGAGCTGCACGGTTTCCGTCGACAGCGGTTATGTACACCAAAGTTAGTAATCGCACGCGTTTGTTGGACCAAGGCAGCTGACGCTGGAGAAGGCATTGGTATGATCAAGCCAGCTTTTTCCAAGGCTTTCGATCGTCTAGACCATGAGATACTACTTTTCAAGCTCCAGCCTTACGGGAAAGGCTACCCACTTTAAAGCTGGATTGCCAACTTTCTAATTCAACGGCGATTAGTGGTCAGAGTTCGGAGCTCTTTATCAGACTCCATACAACTCGAGTATGGTGTGCCACTAGGCTCAGTTCTATGTTTGTTTTTTGGTGTTTTTGGTGTTTATTAATGACCTTGAACAACGACTCGCTTCAAGCTTCCAAATGTTTGCCGATGATAGCAACTTCTGCCGCAGGGTCCAGGCGAATGCCGACCAACATGTGCTTGAGAATGAAATAGGTGGGGTGTATCAATGGTCAACCCAAGACTTACTGCATTACAGGGTCAGTAAATTTCACCTGACATCAGAGCAGCTACTCATGCCGGCTCGGAACGTATATGCTACAACGATCAAAGCTTGAAAGTGACTTGGATGGGCTGGTTAAAGATGTCTTGGATTGCTCCAGGAAATCCGAAAAGGCCAGTCTTTCTGTGAAATACGGCTGAAATATGACTGTGATTGAGGATTTAACCAAAGCAACAATTCAGTGTGGATAGGCGTGGATCATGTACGGGAAAATTATAGCCTCCAAGATTACATACAAAATGACTAGTGAGATGGTTTCAACTCTTGGCGATGTCAGCCTGGTGCATAGGAGTTGGTGTGTGATGGGGAGGAGAAAGGAACGATCCAATGGCTTGTTTCAAAAAGAAGCGCTTGAGAGATATCGGTGGTGTTAAATAACATAAGAAAATCACAGTAAAATCCCCACTGAGCCATGCTTTTGTTGCATGATCATAAAATATATTCAGCGTAATATCTGTTGCACAATGTACATCGGTTTGTCACAAATCTAAATGTCCTAATATGGAATTTTCACACTGCTTGGTTCCATGCTTGTTCTTTTCGGTCTTCTCTCCGCAAGTTTCTCTCTTTTTCATTTCTCCGAGGTCAGGAACTATAGTAAGATCCAGGATTAGGCGGGCGAACTGCTTCCGCCTGGTGGGAAGAAATAACCAACCAGGACATACCTGGACCATAAATTTAAATCAAAACCGACCAACTGCATCTAACAATTAAACGACTGATGTTCAGTGCTAATAGCTGAAAACGACTTCCTCACACTCCAGCATGTATACAAAATTCGAGAAAGTGAGGCCCTAGATATTTTGGTACATTTATTTACCACAACCTTTATGACTGAGCTATCTGCTCAGCCAATAGAGGGTAGTTCAACTGAGAATAACAGTGAACAATTGTTTGATAAGATGCTTTACAAGTTGTATATGACAATTCCAAACCATCAACGACAGTGCTCCAGGACGTGGTGGGCTTTTGCCTGGCAAGCCTTCACCCTATAAACGCCACAAAAGTCCATTTCTCCACACTGTGAAGTGGCGGATGTGAATCGCCACTGATTAGAGCCACTGCCTACGATTACACCCTGGCATATTGAATAAAGACAGTTAGCACTATTTTATTGACACGTACAAAAGGATACTCTCTGTCTGCACTTACCGTCATCACTTCACCTACTGTGCTGTCCTTTTGACTCTACGCACAAATGAGACCAGCTCATCGTCACCACACTGACGATTTTGCCCCTCATAAGTACTTCTTCCATTTCTACAACTTGTACAACTTTTGGCTCCAGCCAATTACGTGCATTATAACGTAACTGCTGCGCAACCTTATTCCTTTAAAATTTTGCTCGTGTCCGAGTTGGTGTGCCTTGATGAATTTGAAAATAAAATTTTAACTTTATTATTTAATTAAAATTTGGACCTAACAATCTCAAAGCGTAAAGCAATTACGGTCAGGTAAGTAACACCAATGCAACAAGATACAAAAAGGTGAAGAGCAAAATGAACGGCTCCTAGATAGCTTTGGATGAATGTAGAGTTGCATGGAGCCTAAAGCACATCTTTGTAGCTAAACAACAGCAAGGCAGACAAGGAAAATAAGTGATAATGGGGCTAATAAAGAAGGCAACGAAAAGTATCGATGCCTCAATTATTAGGTTTTTAAGTCACTGGTGGATAAGTATAGTGTTCTAAAATATGTCAACAAATTAGCAAAGGTAAGTGATGCAGGCAATCCAAGGAGCTAATGAATGGAGATACTAAGAGTGGTCCTAGCAGGCTCGGGAAACCTGCATCTTTGCTTAGAGCATCCATCGAGTCGTTTTTAGCGAAACAGTAGTGCGGAAGTTAAGACGAATGAAAGGTATTGTCCCTAGTAGATAAAGTAACAGAAGCCATAATTTTTAAAATGATTTAGTTTTCTTGTCAATCGTGGACACCTGCAGTGTTTCAGAACAAATCGAAATACCAGCGAACGTATGTGATTCATGTGCGCCATGAGGTCAGTAGTTGGAGAGGATTTGGATGGGCCTAGAGCTCTTTTTGGGTTATTTGCAGATGCAAAGAGCTTACGTCCTGTTGCTGATAAGTACAGAAGGCAGGACGAAAAGTGATATTGGCGCTAGTGTATAAGGAGCAACTGCGGTCAACGATGCTGCCCTGCTTAAGTATTCCAGTCATTAGTGGATACTTACCGTGTGACAGAATAAGTCGATAACCCAGCGAATGTGTGTGATTAACCCATGCCAAAAATATGCGGTGATGCGGGGAGCCTACGTCTAGTCAGCGAAAAGTAGAGAGAATATATGCAAAGAGGAGGGAAAAGTACATATGGTTATCGTGGTTGTACAGGATAACTATGGGCAAAGTCAACGAGGTAAAATGCGCACACGTAAAGAGGAATCGAGGTTAGTAGGATCTCGCAAGAAGTTAGCTTTGGTAAAATGAGTCACGGTGGTTAGCGATCCCACATTAATAATATGTAAATAAATATATTAGTATCTACGTATTCTCGACTATGCGATGCACGCACCTGGAGGCAGGATAAGGTAGGTGCAAATTTACAGACACTTTGTGGCGACTGTAACGACACCAGTAGAAAATGATACAAACTTTCATGATTGGAATTGTACAATGGTGCAAATGCAAAAATGTCTAATTGGGCTGTCTTGAGAGCAAGACAAGTTTGTAAAGAAATATCAGGCTGCTATATATTGAAGTTATACAGCAGCAAAATATTGATCAAGAATCCCGGATGAGGGATTAGAAGATAAATAAAGAGCAAGGTTGATAGGGACGTGCTGGTATACTGAGTTCGCGCTTAGGCAACGCAAAGATCAACCGTGAAATCGTAGAATGTAAAGAACGACAGTATTCCCATGTAATGGAAGTACAAAGTGACAACAGTATACGTAGATGTAGAAGTGCACGTGTAGCAAACGTTTTAAGAATGGTGAAATGGGACGCCTGTTGTCTTGACATTGTGAACTCAGTAACTGGGAATATATTCCGCGGCGAGTCACTTACGCCTCGTCGCAGTACGGGTAAAGAAATACTTTGGCTTTTTATAAGAAGAATGATTGTCATGAGAAAACCCACCACGTCCTGGAACACTTCTGCCGATCCGATGAATGTCAGGCTGTAACTGGCTACGCTCCATGTTGTGAGTCCATTTGCTCGCTTATGCGCAATT